CAACCCCCCAACCCCCACCCGGCATGCTCTGGGCACCAAACATGGCCTCCCGGAAGCCCGGTGCCGGAAAACTACGCCTACCAGCATTCCCCAGGCAGCTGGCTTGACCCATCACAGGCCCAGAGTTCGAGAACTACATTTACCAGCACTCACTGGAACCCAAGCACTTACCGCCCTTTCAAAAAAGCCTCAAGCCCTAACACTAAAATACTTCGAAACCCCTACAGGCCTAATCCAAACTGTTTACCACACTAAACCCCTGAAGTCCTATGCCTAAAAGCCCTTAGGACATTTAGGACGCTCAAAACCCAAACCCAAAACAATAGGATTCTCAAACCGTAAACAACAAGATAAGGACGCTTAAAGCCATAACCCCAAAATTAAGATGCTCAAAACACAAAGCCAACCCAAAACACTACGATGCTCAAAACATCAGGACGCTCAAAACTCTAACCCAAAAATTCAGATGCTTAACACCCAAAGCCCTAACACAAAACATTAGGACGCCCAACACCGTAACCCAAAAATTAGGACGCTCGAACTCTAACCCTAGAAAACCTAACCTGAAAAAAAAAAAAAAAAAAAGGGATCTTAACACACTAACCCTAAATAACTGACCAAAAATAAAACCCTAGGACCCTAACCCTAAAAACATAGCAACACTCCATCCCAAAAAAAACTCTAAAACCCTAACACGCTAACCCTGAAACCCTTAAAACCCTGTTAAAACTCCAACCCAGTTATACACCAGTTACCTCCCTTAAAGGATATAGAGGATAGAGGCTCTCTCAGATACGGCCGTCCTACTTCTCATGAATGCAGCCGGAAGTCAGTCTCATTCTGGTGCTCATGGTGGTGGAAGCAGGGGCAACGGTGGTACTGCTGGAGATACCACAGCCACCTGCGGTGGTTTTACCGTGCTGGGCAGCTAAACCCCACAACCGCTGTCTCACTCCCCCTCCTTTAGATGAGGAGGGGGAGAAGTAAAGCAAAGAACAACTCACGGGTTGAGATAAGGATAATTTAATTAAAGGGAAATAATTATAATAGTTAAATTGTTTAGTTCATGGTAGTCTTTATTTAATTAAGGGGAAATAAAAAGGGAAAGGGGAAAAGGGAGAATAAAAAGAAGGGACGAAAACAAACAAAATAAATGAAAGCTCTATGGAAGTGCAGAGGAAAGAAATTACTCTCTACTTCCCACAAATGAGCGATGATTGACCATGTCCTTGAAGCAAGGCCTCAACGCACGCAGCCGGTGTTCGAGAGGAGGACCGACGTCTTCTCAATGAGAGCCCACCCCTCCCCTCTTCTTCCTGTTTCCACCTTTTATTGCTGAGTGTGACATCCCATGGTATGGAATATCCCTTTGGTTGGTTTAGGTCAGCTGCCCTAGTGATGTTTCTCTCCTCGCTTTTTGCCCATCCCCTAGGAGGGTTAGAGAAAGGCCCAATGCTGTGCCACTGCTGCTCAGCAGTAGACACAACGCTGGTGTGATAACGCTGCTGTTCCAGCTAGAAGTACAGAGTACGGCACTGTATGGGCTGCTGCTGGGAAAGTTAACATTCCAGCCAGACCCAGTACACCACCAGAGCTGGATTGTTACGATATGGAGACGGTAGGTTATCCAACGGCTCCCGTTTATTATCTTTTTATTTTTCCTGTTCTTCTTCTTCAAAATTTCTTACCTGCTTTTAGTGTAAATATTAAGGCTGTAAAAGGACATGAAGTCCTCCTGATCCATAATCCTGCATAATCACTTCCTTCCCGGCCAAAAGGTTCCTTCGAATTAACATGTGTATTTAAGGCCTGACAAATACAGTCTTCAAAGGATCCTAAAACGGGCCGAAAGGCATGCGGTCTTAAAGGCTCCTTTGGCCATTCTATCACACAATACTGGACCATTTTTTATTTACTTTTTACGTTTCTGGGGCCTCTCTCCTTCCAGTTTCTAACCGTTATTCCTAATGGACTTTCTGGTGGTATGTCTGGTAATTTGCTCCCTTTCTTCTGGTCCCTGGTCTTCGGTTTTGTCTCACCCATCTAGGAATGTTACTCTGGCGATTCCCACAGCCCTTCGTTACCTTAATAAGAGTGTCTTAAAGAGGATTTAAGATCTATCACCCACCCACAAATCCTATAGGAATCCCTTCGGTCCTTCACCGGCCAAGTCCCTCGCGGAACATTGGAACAGTGGTAAAGAAGACCTCCACAATCGCTTCGGAACTCAATTCCGTCTCAGTCACACTCTTACACACACAGGCAACAGAAACCCATCCAACAGAACAGTATACGCTTTAAACACTTACGACTCCGTTGTCTTCATTCAGATCTTCACACGCAGAATTACGGGCAAAATATACTGCTGCAGCCAGCAAGGGAGCTGAAAAAAAATCAAACCCTTAGCTTACCTTTATTCAGGTTCGAGATGCCATTAGTCCCGACCAGACTCGAACAGCAGCCACCAAATGCTGGGGCGCCTCTCCTAGATCAAATAAGAATTCAGGAACCAAAGCCCTCCCGGACAAGCCCCCTGGTGTCATACATGACTGGGTCCCAAACTGGATTGCAATTAAATTTTACAATTTTTTAAATAAATAGAGGTAAACGAGAAGTTGCTCGCAAACACATATACTGTGCCAGATGCCCTTCAGCAAGTGCCCAGAGGCAGACAGGATGTCTTCACCAACACAGTCCCATCAATGTATTAGTACACCCATGCACTGCCACGTTAATCACTAACTGCCAGGCAGGACAGCTCCAGACCAAACACATACACGCACAGGCACGCCACAAACACTACAAACAAAACACACAACACAAGGCACAAGAAAAAGTGACCCCCAAAAAGAAAGCCCTACAGCAACAGCAAGTCAGAACAGGTGCTCTGCACCAGACCCTACCAGAGACTCAAATGTCACGACACACGACTGGAAGAACTGCCAGAACTGGGATGATGGAGGCCTAAAAAGCCTGCCTTCAAGACAAGAGACCAGAAGGATGGGGAGTGAAAACTCCCTAAGAAGACACTTAGGAATTCGATTCCCAAGCAAGAGCTCCTGATGCGGCCCAGATGACTTCTGCAAGAGTGAGGATGGAAACAGATGTGCATCATATTCGGTTTGAGATCGCAAGACCTCACACAGATCTGCAGTTCAAGCAGCGACTGCAAGACAAGAAGTGCTCGGATCAGAGTCATGATGACAAAACAAGCATGGAGGCCCTTCTGCACAGCTACCAAGTCACCTATCTGACCAGTCCGGTCTAAAAAGCCAGGAGGATATCAAGACCCGAGAAGCACAGAACAGACACTGCAGAAGCAACACCACAAGACAGACAAACTGAAGGAAACTGTCCTGCCTGGTACACGCACTCACACTACAAAATAATCCTGCTGCTCCTATTAGCCTGGTGACCCAGCCTGAGCCACCCTCACAGTAGCACCAAGTCTATTCAGCCAGCAGGCTCCATGCTGCTCTGGCTCCCAGCTCCCATTAGCCACCCCACATATGCAAATACCAGGTGCCCCCCAACTTAGCTCTCAGGTTGCTGCATGGTAAAGTTTCTCTGCCTCAAGAAATGCACAGGCACTGATTGTCATCTTACTCAATTGCCAGGCTCATCATCAGCTGCAAAAACAGAGAAACAGCATTCACTAGGACACCAGCCCCATTGCTCACCTTCTCCACAATGCTGACTACTGCTGATGCAACATACGATTGTGCTCACGTGTTCCTCTCCGAGTCCAAGCTCCAACAGTGCAGCCAGTATCATCCACACCACCTGGGAAAACAAAGGGATTAAATGATCATTGCGTTCACAACAAGTCAGCCAACTGCGGTTTTTTTGTTTGTTTGTTTGTTTTTTGTCTGTGTGTGTTTCCTGTATTTTTTTTAAATCAGTTTTACCTAAACAACGTGCAGAGAGCAGACAAGAGACCTGGGGTGTTTCTAGAAGCAACAATCCCCATGCTTTTGCTGCAGCTTTTAATATTGAAAGGACAGCACGACCATTCAAGTAACTGGAACTTTTTCAAATGGAATTAAGTCAAACAGGTTCATCATCACTTGCAAAAACAGAGAACCAGCATTCACTAGCACGCCAGCCCTGACACCCACCTCCTCCGCAACGCTCACTGCTACTGATGCAAAATACAGTTGAGCAATACCTCTCTGTTCCCAGCTCCTTTACCTCAGCTGCTCAGTAGCTCCACATGACAAATGGGCCCGGGCGGCGCCGCGCCGAAATGGGCCCGGGCGGCGCCGCGCCGAAATGGGCCCGGGCGGCGCCGCGCCGAAATGGGCCCGGGCGGCGCCGCGCCGAAATGGGCCCGGGCGGCGCCGCGCCGAAATGGGCCCGGGCGGCGCCGCGCCGAAATGGGCCCGGGCGGCGCCGCGCCGAAATGGGCCCGGGCGGCGCCGCGCCGAAATGGGCCCGGGCGGCGCCGCGCCGAAATGGGCCCGGGCGGCGCCGCGCCGAAATGGGCCCGGGCGGCGCCGCGCCGAAATGGGCCCGGGCGGCGCCGCGCCGAAATGGGCCCGGGCGGCGCCGCGCCGAAATGGGCCCGGGCGGCGCCGCGCCGAAATGGGCCCGGGCGGACTTATTCTGCAGAGAAGAAGGTGAGCCTGCTCACTCTCGAGGCACTACTGCACTTATGCGGTCAAGAGACATTACCCCACTGTTTCCCAAAAACAACTACCTGGAAACACCTAATGAACATACTTCTAATATGTCAATTCAAGGACATCAAGACTAGAAGGTTCCAAGGTCTAAACACTCGACAGACAGAAAACACACAGGCAAAAGCTCCAGAAATATAACAAACTGTCCCTAAACCTGAAAGAGACTACCCCTTACATGCCCACTGCTGCCATTTTCAGATACACGCTCACACAGGGAGCCTCCATCATACATTTCTCCTAAACCCTGCTGCTTCACTTTGACAGCAAGGTTATGACTTTGATAAGATTTGACATAGATTTAAAGGCTCACAGAAAGCCCCGTAATTCTGCAAAATTCAGAAGGGACCCAGAACCACAAAGCAAACACACAAAGTAACATCACCATACTATCCGTAAAACTGCCATAACAACTACTCACCTGAGGAAGAGCTGCGTGCAATACAGGCACCTACTACTAGATTGCTTTACAGTGACAGATCCTACCAGTTATCACTTCAAAAAGACATGCGTACCGGTTTCTACTGGAAAACGCATCAGTCCATAGACTCTGACCCACCTAAAGAACCCTCCAAAAGACTGAAGGAAAAACAAAGCACTTACCCAAAAGTGCAGCCCAGGCAGAAGGAGCTCTCTCATGGCATACCTGCAACTCAGTTACCATTAGGTCCCACCTGGAACCTGAAGCCAATCACCTGGGAAAGTGCAGGGGGGAAGCACAAAAAAAAAAAGCAGAAAGAGGAAGAGCAGCAGCTCTGGTTTATTTGCTTCTTTATGTGGCTTAGCTCAACAGCATGCAGAGTGCAGACAGGAGAACTGGGGTGTTTCTAGAAACAAAAATCCCCATGCTTTTGCTGCAGCTTTGAATACTGAAAGGACAATACTACCACGCAAGTAAATGAAGCTTTTTCAGCCGGATTTAGCTCAGACTTGTATTTACGCAGGAAGAAAACTCTAGGAGCAGAACAGATTATGCGCCAAAGAGGAATTCAATTCCATTCCACTCACAGGAAAAATCACTTACTTCAGTAGGCTAACTGAGAACCAAAAGGCTATGCTCACGGGTCAAAACACACTACAGGACACTGGGACCAGGCCCTCTGCTGCATCCACTTAAAACCCATCCCTACACTCACCAAGGTGCAACCCCAACACAAAAAAAAACAGACAAAGCATTTCAGCACCTGCTTTGTTCCGATTCTAAAGACTAACACCACAGACCACATTGCCTGGGACACCTGATAAACAGAAGAGAAAGCAGCAATACCCTTTTCAAGCCATCCCTGCACGTGTCGCTCCTTGATCATCTGCAAACTCTTCTCCAAACCTCAACCGCTTCTGTGGAGAGCCTGCCATGGCACCTGCAAAGCAAGATGGATACCCTTCGCACTCACCTCGTGCTACTTGGCAGTTCTGCTCCAATCCAGCTCACAACCAGCCCGCCCTTCTCGTGCTGCTCTTCAGAGTGCAGCTTGGCCCTTCTGAGCCTGTGTGAGACAAACGTGAAACAAAAAGAAAAGCACAGGCTGAAGCAGCATCCAAAGCCACAGCACAGCTAGGACAGTTACTCTCATCTGCTCCCTTACCTCAGCCCCCTCACCTGCCCTCGAGGAAGATGCTTCCATCTGCTCTCTAGGCCAGCTACAACACCTCTGAAATATAAAATAAACAGGATTTTTACTGTATTTTGTGCAGTTAACTAACTGCAGTGACAACTGCACCCCTGAAGTACCTTCTACATCTGCTCATCGCTCACCTTGCCAAAAGCAGCTCCGGTCAAGTCCCGTGTTGTACACTGTGTTTCACCTTAAACGAATGAAAACAGCCACAAGAGAATCAATCATTCACCTGCCACCATTAGCACCCATCCCTCAACAACACAAGGAACCCCACTTACAACTTTATCATTTCAAAACAGCAGCCCCCTTGCCTCAGCACCTCAGAAGTAGATCAAACCAGTCACCGAGCTGCCCACCGAGTGCTGAACAGTTCCAGGAGGAGCTCTTTCCTGTGGGCAGTTCCTACTACGGTATACACTCTACTGGGGACAGAATAGAAATAAAAATAAAAGTTTCAAAACCCCATATCTGTAAGCTTTCGAGATTCGACAGACCTCCTCAAGCACACCGTTCAAGCACTATGCAAACAGCTGCTCACAAGCAGATATACTCTCCCAAATCCACAGCTGCCAACCACCAGACATGACTGTGCCAGCTGCCCTTCAGTACGTGCCCAGAGGCAGACCGGATGTCTTCGCCAACACAGTCCCATCAATGTATTAGTACACCCATGCACTGCCACATTAATCACTAACTGCCAGGCAGGACAGCTCCAGACCAAACACGTACACACACACAGGCACGCCACAAACACTACAAACAAAACACACAACACTAGGCGCAAGAAAAAGCGACCCCCAGGGGAAAGCCCTACTGCAACAGCAAGTCAGAACAGGTGCTCTGCACCAGACCCCACGAGAGACTCAAATGTCACGACACGTGACTGGAAGCAACTGCCAGATATGGGATGATGGAGGCCTAAAAAGCCTGCCTTCAAGACAAGAGACCAGAAGGATGGGGAGTGAAAACCCCCTAAGAAGACACTTAGGAAATCAATTCCCAAGCAAGAGCTCCTGATGCAACCCAGATGAGTTCCGCAAGAGTGAGGATGGAAACAGACGTGATCTCAAACCGAGTATGATGCACAAGACCTGAAACAGATCTCCACTTCAAGCAGCGACTGCAAGACAAGAAGTGCTCGCATCAGCCCTACGATGACAAAACAAGCATTTAGGGCCTTTGGTGTGGCTAAAAGGTTGCACGTCTTGTCTGTCCAGTGGAAGAAGGCAATGAGAATATCAAGACCTGAAGAGCACGTAACATATGATGATCATATCAGGAAATGTTTGATACAAAAAGCTATTAATCGCATAGTAGAAGTGATCCCCTTAAGCTCCCACTGCCACACAAGCGTTGCTCAGCTCCCAGTTCAACATCAGTATTTTTCTGAGGAGGTCAAGTGTTCAATACCTTCGGGATGGCTTCCCCAGGGCCTGCCGGGCACCAAGAGCAACAGCACAGTACAGCACAGACAACACAGATGACAAGCTGGGACTGCCCTGCCTGGCACGCACTCACGCTGTACGTGACTGAAATCCCCACACATAATCTCTCTGCCTGACCTGATCAATCCTGAAAGGCCCCATCCAAAGCAATGACTTAAAAGCACAGACCCTCACCCTATGGGTGCATTCACAACCCCAACTCAAACATAGCATTTGCCACCCCCCCGACCCCCCCAAATTAGCTTGGGAATGCTGGGAGGCAGGTTCCATCCTCACCAAGGAACACAAAGGCCAGCCAGGACATTGCTTCAGGCACAAGGCTCCTCTTCGCCTGCAGAAATGAAGTGCCATGAGGCGCCAGCACGCTAGCCGAATTTCTTCCAGTGAAACAACCTCCTCAGAAACAAAACAGTAGTCAACTGACCTGCTCTGCTACTGAAATCAGATAGACACCCTTTATACAACTCCCCACCTCCCTCTGCCAACCACTCCACAACACACAGTATTTCCCCCTGGACTTAATTCTCAGGGCTCAGAATCCACTATCAATGTGCACCACAGAGGCCAGCTAGGATGTTCCCAGGACCTTCTTCGTCCCTGCAAAAGAGGAGTCACCTGGAGGTGCATCAAGAGACTACTACAGCAAAAACAATACCCGTTTTCCAACTTTTCTCCACTCACCTTCCCGATCCAGGCTTAGCGCTTCCATTCACTGTGTTGAGCCAAGGTAACAGGACTTAGTCCAAGAACAGAAACGTGACAATCCACAAAACAGTCTATACCCACTCCTTTCGTCCCCTGCTGCAACAGCCAAGAAGCCCCAGAGCCACGTGGCCGAACCCAGTACCACCGCTTCACTCACCTAACATCCCCAGGAGATGCATCGTGCTCCCAGCTCCTCTTGTGCTCCGAGCATCTCCAGCATTTCAGGAACTGGAACCGCTGACGTCTGGCACATCTCAGAAACGTGGCAGGAGACGTACTCTGCTGTCGCAAGGCACTTGCAAAGCCGGCCCGACAGGTGAAGCAGAATAACACAGCCCACCGACCAACTCGGGGCCCCCACTGCTGTCCACTCACCCTCATGCTTCGTTCAAGTTTCCGTGCCTATGCCCTGAGCTACAAGAAACAAAGAGAGAAGGTCACAACCACGATGGATACGCAAACAGTGCAGCTCCTAGCAGAGGACTCAAACACAGAGACCAGAGACAGACAAACAAAAAAAACCCTCAAGTCCAAAAATGCCGAAAGGCCATGAATGCATAGCAGCCCCAGCAGGGGTAATGACAGACATACCCTTTGCAGATGAAAAACGTGACCCTGCTCAGTCTCTTGGTAATACTGCACCAACGCAGTCAAGCCTCTTCTAACATGTAATCAAGCTGGTTTTAGTCCTCTGGAGAGTTACACAAGTGGGTTGATTCATCTGGAGATTAAAATACAAATCAAAAACAGAAGCGTATCCCACCATCCCAAAAAACAGTGAGCCAGCAACCTCTACTAAATATCCCTCTATTAAGTGAATTCCAAGCACTTAGAATTCCAGAAACCCATAGACTCCAGCCTGCCTAGAGAACCCTGCAACTGACTGAAGGAAAAACAAAGCACTGCCCCCAAAGAGCAGCCCAGGCAGAAGGAGCTCTCTCATGGCATACTTGGGGCTCATATACCTTTTGGTCCCACCCAGCACCCAAACCCAATCACCTGGGAAAGGGGAGGGGCAAAGCACAAGAAACTAGAAAGAGGAGGAGCAGCAGCTGTGGTTTATTTACTTAATTATAAGGCTTAGCTCAACAGCATGCAGAGTGCAGACAAGAGAACTGGGGTGTTTCTAGAAGCAATAATCCCCATGCTTTCGCTGCAGCGTTGAATACTGAAAGGACAATACTACCACGCAAGTAAATGAAGCTTTTTCAGCTCAAATTAGCTCAAACTTTTATTTACACAGAAAGAAAGATCTAGGAGCAGAACAGATTGTACACCAACAAAATCAATTCCGTTCCACTCACAGGAAAAATCACTTACTTCAGTAGGCTATCAGAACCAAAAGGCTATGCTGATGGGTCAAAACACACTACAGGACACTGGGGCCAGGCCCTCCGCTGCACCCACTTAAAACCCATCCCTACACTCACCAAGGTGCAACCCCAACCCAAACACAAACAGCATTTCAGCCTCAACACAGTTTTCAGAACTGCTGGAAAGCAGGCTCCATCCTCAGCAAGGCGTGCCCAGGCTGCACAAGACAGGGATTCGGGCACCTCTTTGCCTACCAAAGAAGACGTCCATCAGCACCTGCTTTGTTCTGATTCTAAACAGTAACATCACAGCCCACGTTGCCTGGGACACCTGATAAACAGAAGAGAAAGCAGCCATACCCTTTTCAAGCCATCCCTGCACGTGTCGCTCCTTGATCATCTGCAAACTCTTCTCCAATCCTCAACCGCTTCTCTGGAGAGCCTGCCATGGCACCTGCAAAGCAAGATGGATACCCTTCGCACTCACCTCGTGCTACTTGGCAGTTCTGCTCCAATCCAGCTCACAACCAGCCCGCCCTTCTCGTGCTGCTCTTCAGAGTGCAGCTTGGCCCCACTCAGCCTGTGTGAGACAAATGTGAAACAAAAAGAAAAGCATAGGCTGAAGCAGCATCCAAAGACACGGCACAGCTGGGACAGTTACTCTCATCTGCTCCTTTACCTCGGCCCCCTCATCTGCCCTCAAGGAAGATGATTCCATCTGCTCTCTTAGGCCAGCTACAACACACCTCTGAAATATAAACAGGATTTTTACTGTATTTTGTGTAGTTAAGTAACTGCAGTGACAACTGCACCCCTAAAGTACCTTCTACATCTGCTCATCCCTCACCTTGCCAAAAGCAGCTCTGGTCGTCAAGTCCCGTATTGTACACTGTGTTTCACCTTAAACAAATGAAAACAGCCACAAGAGAATCAATCATTCAGCTGCCAGCATTAGCACCCATCCCTCCACAACACACAGGGACCCCATTTACAATATTATCATTTCAAAACAGCAGCCCCCTTGCCTCAGCACCTCTGTTATAAATGGCTCAGGATTCAAATTAGGATTAAATGAAAAATAGGATTTATTAAAAGAACATAAAGGAACAGAGGTAAGCAAACAGCGCTGGGTGCACCGGGAGTCTCCGCTCCACCAGGACACACACCAGTTACATCAAGCAGCTGATTTTTATGCACCTAGACTAATACATATTCATTACTACTTCTAAAAAAAATAGATCATTATAATTAGCTTCCGGGGTCCAGTTCCTCCTACTGGAGCATGCGCATCAGTCTCCTCTGGGGGTCTCTAGGGGTCTTTCATGCTGAAGGCTCGTAGTCTTCCTCTCACCCTTTGTACTCACTCGGCACTATTCCGAGTTTATGGAACACTCTCTACAGGTCTTGTCTCCCAACCGTCCTTCAGCTTCTTTTTTCTTCCTCTTAATCTCTTGGCCCCCCTGGCCAGATACCAAGGAACTCATAACAGCCACCAGCAGTCACCAGTTATTATCAGTTGTTCTGAAACTCCCAAACAGGTTGACGACTCACGAGCAATTAAAACATTCTTTCCCAGCTATTCACAGTCATCTATATAACATCTGTAGCAGTGTTAAATCAATCTCGAATAAGACAAAAAAAAACTGTAACTGTTAGAACTAGAAGTCAGGAACAACAAAAGCAAACAGGTTCATAAATCTAAGGAGTGTTTTCTAAAGACGTGATAAATTGACTGGAATGAGGGGGAGACTGGGACACACAGCATCTGTGGTTCAAGAATTAAATTGCCAGTGCAGGGCCCAGAGGCAGACAGGATTCAAACAGAATTATTCTTTATGGAAACGAATTAGAATTCTTAAAACATTCCACACACCTCAGAAGTAGATCAGGCCGGTCACCGAGTTGCCTACTGAGTGATGAACAGTTCCAGAAGGAGCTCTTTCCTGTGACAGGCTCCTCCTAGGGTTTACACTCTACTGGGGACAGGAAAGAAATAAAAATAAACATTTCAAAACCCCGTATCTGTAAGCTTTCAAGATTCAGCAGACCTCCTCAAGAACACCATTCAAGCACTATGCAAACAGCTGCTCACAAGCAGATATACTCTCCCCCCCCCACATCTGACAAACACCATATAGATGACTGTGCCAGCTGCCCTTCAGTATGTGCCGAGAGGCAGACAAGATGTCTTCGCCAACACAGTCCCATCAATGTATTAGTACACCCATGCACTGCCACGTTACCTGTCATCACTAACTGCCAGGCAGGACAGATCCAGACCAAACACATACACACAGGCACGCCACAAACACTACAAACAAAACACACAACACTAGGCCCAAGAAAAAGTGACCCCCAGGGGAACGCCCTACTGCAACAGCAAGTCAGAACAGGTGCTCTGCACCAGACCCTACGAGAGACTCAAATGTCACGACACACGACTGGAAGAACTGCCAGAACTGGGATGATGGAGGCCTAAAAAGCCTGCCTTCAAGACAAGAGACCAGAAGGATGGGGAGTGAAAACTCCCTAAGAAGACGCTTAGGAATTCGATTCCCAAGCAAGAGCTCCTGATGCGGCCCAGATGACTTCTGCAAGAGTGAGGATGGAAACAGATGTGCATTATATTCGGTTTGAGATCGCAAGACCTCACACAGATCTGCAGTTCAAGCAGCGACTGCAAGACAAGAAGTGCTCTGATCAGAGTCATGATGACAAAACAAGCATGGAGGCCCTTCTGCACAGCTACCAAGTCACCTATCTGATCAGTCCGGTCTAAAAAGCCAGGAGGATATCAAGACCCGAGAAGCACAGAACAGACACTGCAGAAGCAACACCACAAGACAGACAAACTGAAGGAAACTGTCCTGCCTGGTACACGCACTCACACTACAAAATAATCCTGCTGCTCCTATTAGCCTGGTGACCCAGCCTGAGCCACCCTCACAGTGGCATCAACTCTATTCAGCCAGCAGGCTCCATGCTGCTCTGGCTCCCAGCTCCCATTAGCCACCCCACATATGCAAATACCAGGTGCCCCCCAACTTAGCTCTCAGGTTGCTGCATGGTAAAGTTTCTCTGCCTCAAGAAATGCACAGGCACTGATTGTCATCTTAGTCAATTGCCAGGCTCATCATCAGCTGCAAAAACAGAGAAACAGCATTCACTAGGACGCCAGCCCCATTGCTCACCTTCTCCACAATGCTGACTACTGCTGATGCAACATACGATTGTGCTCACGTGTTCCTCTCCGAGTCCAAGCTCCAACAGTGCAGCCAGTATCATCCACACCACCTGGGAAAACAAAGGGATTAAATGATCATTGCGTTCACAACAAGTCAGCCAACTACGGTTTTTTTTGTTTGTTTGTTTGTTTTTTTGTGTTTGTTTCCTGTATTTTTTTAAATCAGTTTTACCTAAACAACGTGCAGAGAGCAGACAAGAGACCTGGGGTGTTTCTAGAAGCAACAATCCCTATGCTTTTGCTGCAGCTTTTAATATTGAAAGAACAGCACAACCATTCAAGAAACTGAAACTTTTTCAAATGGAATTATGTCAAACAGGTTCACCATCACTTGCAAAAACAGAGAACCAGCATTCACTAGCATGCCAGCCCTGACACCCACCTCCTCCGCAACGCTGACTACTACTGATGCAACATACCATTGTGCAATACCTCTCTGTTCCCAGCTCCTTTACCTCAGCTGCTCAGTAGCTCCACAGGACAAATGGGCCCGGGCGGCGCCGCGCCGAAATGGGCCCGGGCGGCGCCGCGCCGAAATGGGCCCGGGCGGCGCCGCGCCGAAATGGGCCCGGGCGGCGCCGCGCCGAAATGGGCCCGGGCGGCGCCGCGCCGAAATGGGCCCGGGCGGCGCCGCGCCGAAATGGGCCCGGGCGGCGCCGCGCCGAAATGGGCCCGGGCGGCGCCGCGCCGAAATGGGCCCGGGCGGCGCCGCGCCGAAATGGGCCCGGGCGGCGCCGCGCCGAAATGGGCCCGGGCGGCGCCGCGCCGAAATGGGCCCGGGCGGCGCCGCGCCGAAATGGGCCCGGGCGGCGCCGCGCCGAAATGGGCCCGGGCGGCGCCGCGCCGAAATGGGCCCGGGCGGCGCCGCGCCGAAATGGGCCCGGGCGGCGCCGCGCCGAAATGGGCCCGGGCGGCGCCGCGCCGAAATGGGCCCGGGCGGCGCCGCGCCGAAATGGGCCCGGGCGGCGCCGCGCCGAAATGGGCCCGGGCGGCGCCGCGCCGAAATGGGCCCGGGCGGCGCCGCGCCGAAATGGGCCCGGGCGGCGCCGCGCCGAAATGGGCCCGGGCGGCGCCGCGCCGAAATGGGCCCGGGCGGCGCCGCGCCGAAATGGGCCCGGGCGGCGCCGCGCCGAAATGGGCCCGGGCGGCGCCGCGCCGAAATGGGCCCGGGCGGCGCCGCGCCGAAATGGGCCCGGGCGGCGCCGCGCCGAAATGGGCCCGGGCGGCGCCGCGCCGAAATGGGCCCGGGCGGCGCCGCGCCGAAATGGGCCCGGGCGGCGCCGCGCCGAAATGGGCCCGGGCAGACTTATTCTGCAGAGAAGAAGGTGAGCCTGCTCACTCTCGAGGCACTACTGCACTTATGCGGTCAAGAGACATTACCCCACTGTTTCCCAAAAACAACTACCTGGAAACACCTAATGAACATACTTCTAATATGTCAATTCAAGGACATCAAGACTAGAAGGTTCCAAGGTCTAAACACTCGACAGACAGAAAACACACAGGCAAAAGCTCCAGAAATATAACAAACTGTCCCTAAACCTGAAAGAGACTACCCCTTACATGCCCACTGCTGCCATTTTCAGATACACGCTCACACAGGGAGCCTCCATCATACATTTCTCCTAAACCCTGCTGCTTCACTTTGACAGCAAGGTTATGACTTTGATAAGATTTGACATAGATTTAAAGGCTCACAGAAAGCCCCGTAATTCTGCAAAATTCAGAAGGGACCCAGAACCACAAAGCAAACACACAAAGTAACATCACCATACTATCCGTAAAACTGCCATAACAACTACTCACCTGAGGAAGAGCTGCGTGCAACACAGGCACCTACTACTAGATTGCTTTACAGTGACAGATCCTACCAGTTATCACTTCAAAAAGACATGCGTACCGGTTTCTACTGGAAAACGCATCAGTCCATAGACTCTGACCCACCTAAAGAACCCTGCATCTGACTGAAGGAAAAACAAAGCACTTACCCAAAAGTGCAGCCCAGGCAGAAGGAGCTCTCTCATGGCATACCTGCAACTCAGTTACCATTAGGTCCCACCTGGAACCTGAAGCCAATCACCTGGGAAAGTGCAGGGGGGAAGCACAAAAAAAAAAAGCAGAAAGAGGAAGAGCAGCAGCTCTGGTTTATTTGCTTCTTTATGTGGCTTAGCTCAACAGCATGCAGAGTGCAGACAGGAGAACTGGGGTGATTCTAGAAACAAAAATCCCCATGCTTTTGCTGCAGCTTTGAATACTGAAAGGACAATACTACCACGCAAGTAAATGAAGCTTTTTCAGCCGGATTTAGCTCAGACTTGTATTTACACAGGAAGAAAACTCTAGGAGCAGAACAGATTATGCGCCAAAGAGGAATTCAATTCCATTCCACTCACAGGAAAAATCACTTACTTCAGTAGGCTAACTGAGAACCAAAAGGCTATGCTCACGGGTCAAAACACACTACAGGACACTGGGACCAGGCCCTCTGCTGCATCCACTTAAAACCCATCCCTACACTCACCAAGGTGCAACCCCAACACAAAAAAAAACAGACAAAGCATTTCAGCACCTGCTTTGTTCCGATTCTAAAGACTAACACCACAGACCACATTGCCTGGGACACCTGATAAACAGAAGAGAAAGCAGCAATACCCTTTTCAAGCCATCCCTGCACGTGTCGCTCCTTGATCATCTGCAAACTCTTCTCCAAACCTCAACCGCTTCTGTGGAGAGCCTGCCACGGCACCTGCAAAGCAAGATGGATACCCTTCGCACTCACCTCGTGCTACTTGGCAGTTCTGCTCCAATCCAGCTCACAACCAGCCCGCCCTTCTCGTGCTGCTCTTCAGAGTGCAGCTTGGCCCTTCTGAGCCTGTGTGAGACAAACGTGAAACAAAAAGAAAAGCACAGGCTGAAGCAGCATCCAAAGCCACAGCACAGCTAGGACAGTTACTCTCATCTGCTCCCTTACCTCAGCCCCCTCACCTGCCCTCGAGGAAGATGCTTCCATCTGCTCTCTAGGCCAGCTACAACACCTCTGAAATATAAAATAAACAGGATTTTTACTGTATTTTGTGCAGTTAACTAACTGCAGTGACAACTGCACCCCTGAAGTACCTTCTACATCTGCTCATCGCTCACCTTGCCAAAAGCAGCTCCGGTCAAGTCCCGTGTTGTACACTGTGTTTCACCTTAAACGAATGAAAACAGCCACAAGAGAATCAATCATTCACCTGCCACCATTAGCACCCATCCCTCAACAACACAAGGAACCCCACTTACAACTTTATCATTTCAAAACAGCAGCCCCCTTGCCTCAGCACCTCAGAAGTAGATCAAGCCAGTCACCGAGCTGCCCACCGAGTGCTGAACAGTTCCAGGAGGAGCTCTTTCCTGTGGGCAGTTCCTACTACGGTATACACTCTACTGGGGACAGAATAGAAATAAAAATAAAAGTTTCAAAACCCCATATCTGTAAGCTTTCAAGATTCAACAGACCTCCTCAAGCACACCGTTCAAGCACTATGCAAACAGCTGCTCACAAGCAGATATACTCTCCCAAATCCCCATCTGCCAACCACCAGACATGACTGTGCCAGCTGCCCTTCAGTACGTGCCCAGAGGCAGACCGGATGTCTTCGCCAACACAGTCCCATCAATGTATTAGTACACCCATGCACTGCCACATTAATCACTAACTGCCAGGCAGGACAGCTCTAGAGCAAACACGTACACACACAGGCACGCCACAAACACTACAAACAAAACACACAACACAAGGCACAAGAAAAAGTGACCCCCAGAGGAAAGCCCTATGGCAACAGCAAGTCAGAACAGGTGCTCTGCACCAGACCCTACGAGAGACTCAAATGTCACGACACGTGACTGGAAGCAACTGCCAGAACTGGGATGATGGAGGCCTAAAAAGCCTGCCTTCAAGACAAGAGACCAGAAGGATGGGGAGTGAAAACCCCCCAAGGCGACACTTAGGAAATCAATTCCCAAGCAAGAGCTCCTGATGCGGCCCAGATGACTTCTGCAAGAGTGAGGATGGAAACAGATGTGCATCATATTCGGTTTGAGATCACAAGACCTCAAACAGATCTGTAGTTCAAGCAGTGACTGCAAGACAAGAAGTGCTCGGATCACAGCCATGATGACAAAAGAAGCATTGAGGCCCTTCAGCACCGCTTCCAAGTCACCTGTCTAGTCAGTCCGGTGTAAAAAGTTAGGAGGATATCAAGACCCGAGAAGCACAGAACAGACACTGCAGAAGCAAACAGGACAGACGAACAGAAGGAAACTGTCCTGCCTGGCGCACGCACCCAAGCTACAAAATAATCCCGCTGCTTCTATTAGCCTGGTGACCAAGCCACAAGCAGCCTGCACGTGACCCAGCCTCAAGTCTATTCAGCCAGCTAGCTCCATGCTGCTCTGGCTCCCAGCTCCCATTAGCCACCTCAGATATGTAAATACCAGGTGCCCCCCAACTTAGCTCTCAGGTTGCTCAATGGTAAATTCCTTCCACCTCAAGAAATGCACAGGCACCGATTGTCAGCTTAGTCAATTGCCAGGCTCATCATCAGCTGCAAAAACAGAGTACCAGCATTCACTAGGACACCAGCCATGATGCCCACCTTCTCCACAATGCTGACTACTGCTGATGCAACATACGGTTCTGCTCACCTCTTCCTCTCCGAATCCAAGCTCCAACAATGCAGCCAGTATCATCCACACCACCTAGGAAAACAAAGGGATTAAATGATCCTTGTGTTCACAAGTGACCCAATGGTGGTTTTTTTATTATTGTTTTTTTGTCTGTGTTTCCTGTTTATTGTTGGGTTTTTTTTTCAAATCTGCTTTTGCTCAACAGCATGCAGACTCCAGACAAGAAAACTGGGGTGTTTCTAGAAGCAACAATCCCCATGCTTTTGCTGCAGCTTTTAACATTGAAAGGACAACACGACCCAGAAAGTAACTGGAACTTTTTCAAATGGAATTAGCTCAAACTTTTATTTGCATTGAAAAAAAATCTAGGAGCAGAACAGATTATATGCCAAAAAAATTAATTCCATTCCATCCCCGGGAAAAAAATCACACACTCTTGTTGCGAAGCACGGACGAAAGCACAACAGACACCAGCAGAGTCAGATCATGCTTCACCATTTTATTGCCCGAATAGCCTAACTTTTATAGTGAACTTTACAGGGGTGGACAGTGTTTCACACAAGATTATTGGTCAAAAGCACTCAGACAAACCGTTAAGAAAATAACACCACCTGCAAGAAAAGAACCCCCCTTTTGATTAGAAGTTAGGAAAACAACCCCCTTTGTGCTTAACGGTCACGTAGGCCTAGTCCTTGAGGCCAGCTGCTGATAACAATATTTTCTGAGTTCCTTAATTGGGTGATGTGGGAGTCATTGCCGTGGGAGCTTCTCACAGTTACTTGCTCAGCTACAGCAGGCCCTGAGATTTCTAAGGCCTACCCCTGGTTGCTTAAGGCAAGCTTAGATCGAACAATTATGCCAATTCCCAACATACTCTCATCCCCTCCTGTACCTCAGCCGCTTGCCTGCCCCACGTGGCACATGCTTCCATCTGTTCTCTTCACCCACTTATAGCACCTCTAAAAGGCAAACTGGAATTTTACTCTATTGGACGTAAGAAAATAACTGCAGTGACAACTGCACCCCAAAAATAACAGCTACCTCTGCTCATCACGCACCAGAGTCACTGCAGAGGCAGCTGGTTGAGACATCCTGCACTGCACACTGCGTTTCAGCCTGAACAAAAGAAAAACACAGGCAGAAGATAAACATTCAGCTGCCAGCAGTAGCACCCATCCCTCAACAACATAAGCAACCCCATCTTTACTTTTATCCTTTCAAAACAGCAGGCCACTTGCCTCTGGACCTGCAAATTAGGTCCAAGCTTGAAAGGAGCGGCCAGCATCACCCACGCCACCTGGGAACACAAAAGGATACAATGACCACTGTGCTTGCAAGCACCCACCTGCCACACTGCTCCTCTATCCCAAACAGCCTCACCTCGGACCCTCACAGGGAAACACCTGAGCTTCTTTCCCTTTGCTTCGGATAAGGGATGACCAGGCTGACACCACTCACCTTCCCTCAGAGCTTCGTGACATGAGGATTTCCCTTCCCTCTCCACAACTGCACAAAGCACCTGCAGAGGCAAGAGAAACACACACTCTGAAACAGCCACAGCGTACCTGCTGCAAGACCTCTCTCTTCCCAGCTCCGGTACTTCAGCTGCTCACCAGCTCTGAGATTCCACGTTCACAGCGCCACAGCAAACTCTGCCCAGGCCACACAACACACACTACACAAGCTACATTGCCCAACACACACAAGCTGGTACATTCCCACCCAACAATCAGTCACATCGCACAGGAAGGCTGCTGCACACTCCTAGAAACCAAACCTACCAGTCCTGAGGAGCTCCCCACTTCCTCCTGGAAACCACGCTCAGCACACACACTATTCACCCCTCAAAAACAAAAAAAGTTAGAACATAATCACACAAAAAAAAAAAACAACCGAGCTCCACAAATGCCAAAAAGACATGCACACACAGCAGCCTCGGCAGGGGTAATCACAGACTTACCCTTTGCAGATAAAAAACGTGACTCTGATACATCCCTGCTCAGTCTCTTGGCAATGCTGCATCTACACTGTCAAGCCACAGGTACCACGCAATCAAGCTGGTTTTAGTCCTCTACAGAATAAAACGAGTGGCTTTATACGTCTAGAGATTAAAGTGCAGCTCAAAAACAGAGGAGTATCGCACCATCCTAAAAAACAATAAGCCACAAACCTCTACTAAACGTCCCTCTCTTAAGTGAATTCCAAGCACTTAAAAATTCTAGAAATCTATAGACTCCAGCCTGCCTAGAGAACCCTGCAACTGACTGAAGGAAAAACAAAGCACTTACCCCAAGGAGCAGCCCAGGCAGAAGGAGCTCTCTAATGCCATGCCCGGGGCTCATATAGCATTTGGCCCCGCCCAGCACCCAAACCCAATCACCTGGAAAAGGGGAGTGGCAAAGCACAAGGAAGTAGAAAGAAAGCAGGAGCAGAAGCAGCTGCTTTTTATTACTTTCTTTGTTTGTTTTTTTTTTTTTTTTTTTTTTTTTTTTTTAAGATCTGCTTTACTTGAAAAACATGCAGAGAGCAGACAGGTGACCTGTGGTGTTTCTAGAAGCAACAATCCCCATGCTTTTGCTGCAGCTTTTAATATTGAAAGGACAACACGACCAGGCCAGTAACAGGAAATCTTTCTAATGGAATTACGTCAAACAGGTTCATCATCACTTGCAAAAACAGAGAACCAGCATTCACTAGCACGCCAGCCCTGATACCCACCTCTTGGACAACGCTCACTACTACTGATGCAAAACGCTACTGTGCAATACCCCTCTGTTCCCAGCTCCCTTACCTCAGCTGCTCACTACACTTACCTGAGAAATGGGGCCGGGCGGACTTATTCTGCAGAGAAGAAGAAGGTGGCCCTGCTCACTCTAGGCACTACTGCACTTATGCGGTCAAGAGACATTACCCCACTGTTTCCCAAAAACAACTACCTGGAAACACCTAATAAACATACTTCTAATATGTCAATTCAAGGACATCAAGACTAAAAGGCTGCAAGGTCTAAACACTCGACAGACAGAAAACACACAGGCAAAAGCTCCAGAAATATAACAACCTGTCCCTAAACTTGAAACAGACTACCCCTTACGTGCCCATTGCTGCCATTTTCAGACACATGCTCACACAGGGAGCTTCCATGATACATTTCAACTAAACCCTGCTCCATCACTTTAACAACAAGGTTGTAACTTTGATAAGATTTGACATACAGGCAAAGAATCACAAAAAGCCCCGTAATTCTGCAAAAATCAGAAGGGACCCAGAACCACAAAGCAAACACACAAAGTAACATCACCATACCATCCGTAAAACTGCCATAACAACTACTCACCTGAGGAAGAGCTGCGTGCAATACAGGCACCTACTACTAGATTGCTTTACAATGACAGATCCTACCAGTTACCAACTCAAAAAGATATGCGTACCGGTTTCTACTGGAAAACGCATCAGTCCATAGACTCTGACCCACCTAAAGAACCCTGCAACTGACTGAAGGAAAAACAAAGCACTTACCCAAAAGTGCAGCCCAGGCAGAAGGAGCTCTCTCATGGCATACCTGCAACTCAGTTACCATTAGGTCTCACCTGGAACCTGAAGCCAATCACCTGGGAAAGTGCAAGGGGGAAAGCACAAAAAAAAAAATCTGAAACGAGCAGTAGCTGTGGTTTCTTTATTCATTTATATGGCTTAGCTCAACAGCATGCAGAGTGCAGACAGGAGAGCTAGGGTGTTTCTAGAAACAAAAACCCCCATACTTTTGCTGCAGCTTTGAATATTAAAAGGACAAACTGATCAAGAAAGTAAACTGATTTTTTTTTCCATCTGGAATTAGCTCAATATTTTCTTTACATAAAAAGAAAAATCTAGGAGGAGAACAAATTACATGGAAAAAAAAACAATTCCATTCCACTCACAGGAAAAATCACTTACTTCAGTAGGTTACCTGAGAACCAAAAGGCTATGCTGATGGGTCAAAACACACTACAGGACACTGGGGTTCAGGCCCTCCGCTGCACCCACTTTAAACCCATCCCTACACTCATCAAGGTGCAAGCCCAACACAAAAAAAACAGACAAAGCATTTCAGCACCTGCTTTGTTCCGATTCTAAAGACTAACATCACAGCCCACGTTGCCTGGGACACCTGATAAACAGAAGAGAAAGCAGCCATACCCTTTTCAAGCCATCCCTGCACGTGTCGCTCCTTGATCATCTGCAACCTCTTCTCAAATCCTCAACCGCTTCTCTGGAGAGCCTGCCATGGCACCTGCACAGCAAGACCCTTCGCACTCACCTCGTGCTACTTGGCTGTTCTGCTCCAATCCAGCTCACAACCAGCCCGCCCTTCTCGTGCTGCTCTTCAGAGTGCAGCTTGGCCCCTCTGAGCCTGTGTGAGACAAATGTGAAACAAAAAGAAAAACATAGGCTGAAGCAGCATCCAAAGCCACAACACAGAGGGAGAGATACTCTCATCTGCTGCCTTACATCTGCCCCCCTCACCTGCCCTCGAGGCAGATGCTTCCATCTGCTCTCTTAGGCCAGCTACTACAACTCTGAAATACAATCAGGATTTTTACTGTATTTTGTGCAGTTAACTAACTGCAGTGACAACTGCACCCCTAAAGTACCTGCTACATCTGTTCATCGCTCACCTTGCCAAAAGCAGCTTTGGTCATCAAGTCCCGTTTTGTACACTGTGTTTCACCTTAAACAAATTAAACAAAAGTTGCCTACCAAGTGCTGAACAGTTCCAGAAGGAGCTCTTTCCTGTGACAGGCTCCTCCAAGGGTTTACACTCTAATGGGGACAGGAAAGAAATAAAAATAAAAGTTTCAAAACCCTATATATGTAAGCTTTCAAGATTCGACAGACCTCCTCAAGCACACCGTTCAAGCACTATGCAAACAGCTGCTCACAAGCAGATATACTCTCCCAAATCCACAGCTGCCAACCACCAGAAATGACTGTGCCAGCTGCCCTACAGTACGTGCCCAGAGGCAGACCGGATGTCTTCGCCAACACAGTCCAGACAATGTATTAGTACACCCATGCACTGCCACATTAATCACTAACTGCCAGGCAGGACAGCTCCAGACCAAACACGTACACGCACAGGCACGCCACAAACACTACAAACAAAACACACAACAGTAGGTGCAAGAAAGATTGACCCCCAAAAGGAAAGCCCTATGGCAACAGCAAGTCAGATAAAGGTGCTCTGCACCAGACCCTACCAGAGACTCAAATGTCACGACACACGACTGGAAGAACTGCCAGAACTGGGATGATGGAGGCCTAAAAAGCCTGCCTTCAAGACAAGAGACCGGAAGGATGGGGAGAGAAAACTCCCTAAGACGACACTTAGGAATTCGATTCCCAAGCAAGAGCTCCTGATGCGGCCCAGATGACTTCTGCAAGAGTGAGGATGGAAACAGACGCGATCTCAAACCGAATATGATGCACAAGACCTGAAACAGATCTGCACTTTCGAGCACTTCTTGTCTTGCAGTCGCTGCTTGATCAGAGCCATGATGACAAAACAAGCATTGAGGCCCTTCTGCACAGCTACCGAGTCGCCTGTCTGGTCAGTCTGGTGTAAAAATCCATGAGGATATCAAGACCCGACAAGCACAGAACAGACGTTGCAGAAGCAACACTACAAGACAGACAAACTGAAGGAAACTGTCCTGCCTGGCGCACACACTCAAGCTACAAAATAATCCTGCCTCTTCTATTAGCCTGGTGACCCAGCCAGAAGCAGCCTGAACGTGACCCAAGGAGCAGCCCAGGCAGACTGAGCTCTCTAATACCATGCCTGGGGCTCATATACCATTTGGCCCCGCCCAGCACCCAAACACAATCACCTGGAAAAGGGGAGGGGCAAAGCACAAGGAAGTAGAAAGAAAGCAGCAGCAGCTGTTTTTTATTTATTTATTTTTTTTTTAAGATCTGCTTTACTTGAAAAACATACAGAGAGCAGACAGGAGACCTAGGGTGTTTCTAGAAGCAACAATCCCCATGCTTTTGCTGCAGCTTTTAACATCGGAAGGACAACACGACCAGGCAAGTAACTGGAACTTTTTCAAATAGAATTAGCTCAAACAGGTTCATCATCACTTGCAAAAACAGAGAACCAGCATTCGCTAGGATGCCAGCCCTGATACCCACCTCCTCCGCAACGCTGACTACTACTGATGCAACATACCATTGTGCAATACCTCTCTGTTCCCAGCTCCTTTACCTCACCTGCTCAGTAGCTCCACCTGAAAAATGGGCCCGGGCGGCGCCGCGCTTAAATGTGCCCAAACAGACTTTATCTTCAGAGATGAAGAAGGTGACCCTGCTCAGTCTCTTGGCAGTACTGCACTTATGCGGTCAAGAAACTGTAGCCCACAGTTTCCCAAAAACAACGTACCTTGCAACCGTTCATAAACATAACTCAAATAAGTGAATTCCATGCACATAAAGCAAGAAGGCTTGATGGTCTAAAGACTCAGACAGCAAGCACACAGGCAAAAGCTCCAGGAATATAACAAACCGCCCCTAAACCTGAAAAACACCACCACTTATATGCCCACTGCTGCCATTTTCAGATACACGCTCACACAGGGAGCCTCCATCATACATTTCTCCTAAACCCTGCTCCATCACTTTGCCACAAAGGTTGTGATATTGATAATATTTGACATACAGGCAAAGAATCACAGAAAGCCCCGTAATTCTGCAAAAATCAGAAGGGACCCAGAACCACAAAGCAAACACACAAAGTAACATCACCATACTATCCGTAAAACTGCCATAACAACTACTCACCTGAGGAAGAGCTGCGTGCAATACAGGCACCTACTACTAGATTGCTTTACAATGACAGATCCTACCCTTTACAATGACAAATCCTACCAGTTGCCACCTCAAAAAGATATGCGTACCAGTTTCTACTTGAAATCGCATCCGTCCATAGACTCTGACCCACCTAAAGAACCCTGCATCTGACTGAAGGAAAAACAAAGCACTTACCCAAAAGTGCAGCCCAGGCAGAAGGAGCTCTCTCATGGCATACCTGCAACTCAGTTACCATTAGGTCCCACCTGGAACCTGAAGCCAATCACCTGGGAAAGTGCAGGGGGGAAGCACAAAAAAAAAAGCAGAAAGAGGAAGAGCAGCAGCTCTGGTTTATTTGCTTCTTTATGTGGCTTAGCTCAACAGCATGCAGAGTGCAGACAGGAGAACTGGGGTGTTTCTAGAAACAAAAATCCCCATGCTTTTGCTGCAGCTTTGAATACTGAAAGGACAATACTACCACGCAAGTAAATGAAGCTTTTTCAGCCGGATTTAGCTCAGACTTGTATTTACACAGGAAGAAAACTCTAGGAGCAGAACAGATTATGCGCCAAAGAGGAATTCAATTCCATTCCACTCACAGGAAAAATCACTTACTTCAGTAGGCTAACTGAGAACCAAAAGGCTATGCTCACGGGTCAAAACACACTACAGGACACTGGGACCAGGCCCTCTGCTGCATCCACTTAAAACCCATCCCTACACTCACCAAGGTGCAACCCCAACACAAACACAGACGCAGCATTTCAGCTTCAACACAGTTTTGGGAACTGCTGGAAAGCAAGCTTCATACTCAGCAAGGCGTGCTCAGGCTACACAGGACGGGGCTTCGGGCACCTCTTTGCCTACCAAAGAAGACCACCATCAGCACCTGCTTTGTTCCTATTCTAAAGACTAACATCACAGCCCACATTGCCTGGGACACCTGATAAACAGAAGAGAAAGCAGCCATACCCTTTTCAAGCCATCCCTGCACGTGTCGCTCCTTGATCATCTGCAACCTCTTCTCCAATCCTCAAACACTTCTGTGGAGAGCCTGCCATGGCACCTGCAAAGCAAGATGGATACCCTTCGCACTCACCTCGTGCTACTTGGCAGTTCTGCTCCAATCCAGCTCACAACCAGCCCGCCCTTCTCGTGCTGCTCTTCAGTGTGCAGCTTGGCCCCACTCAGCCTGTGCGAGACACCTGCAAAAGAGAAAGAAAAGCATAGGCTGAAGCAGCATCCAAAGCCACAGCACAGCTGGGACAGTTACTCTCAGCTGCTCCCTTACCTCGGCCTCCTCACCTGCCCTCGAGGCAGACGCTTCCATCTGCTCTCTTAGGCCAGCTACAACACCTCTGAAATATAAACAGGATTTTTACTGTATTTTGTGTAGTTAACTAACTGCAGTGACAACTGCACCCCTAAAGTACCTGCTACACCTGTTCATCGCTCACCTTGCCGAAAGCAGCTCTGGTCGTCAAGTCCCATGTTGTACACTGTGTTTCAGCTTTAACAACTGAAAATAGACACAAGAGAATCATTCAGCTGCCAGCATTAGCACCCATCCCTCCACAACAAAAGGGACCCCATTTACAATATTATCGTTTCAAAACAGCAGCCCCCTTGCCTCAGCACCTCAGAAGTAGATCAGGCCAGTCATCAAGTTGCCTACTGAGTGCTGAACAGTTCCAGAAGGAGCTCTTTCCTGTGACAGGCTCCTCCAAGGGTTTACACTCTACTGGGGACAGGAAAGAAATAAAAATAAACATTTCAAAACCCCATATCTGTAAGCTTTCAAGATTCAGCAGACCTCCTCAAGCACACCGTTCAAGCACTATGCACACAGCTGCTCACAAGCAGATATACTCTCCCAAATCCACATCTGCCAACCACCAGACATGACTGTGCCAGCTGCCCTTCAGTACATGCCCAGAGGCAGACCGCATGACTTCGCCAACACAGTCCGGACAATGTATTAGTACACCCATGCACTGCCACATTAATCACTAACTGCCAGGCAGGACAGCTCCAGACCAAACACGTACACACACAGGCACGCCACAAACACTACAAACAAAACACACAACACAAGGCGCAAGAAAAAGTGACCCCCATAGGAAAACCCTACGGCAACAGCAAGTCAGAACAGGTGCTCTGCACCAGACCCTAGGAGAGACTCAAATGTCACGACACGCGACTGGAAGCAACTGCCAGAACTGGGATGATGGAGGCCTAAAAAGCCTGCCTTCAAGACAAGAGACCAGAAGGATGGGGAGTGAAAACCCCTTAAGAGGACACTTAGGAATTCAATTCCCAAGCAAGAGCTCCTGATGCGGCCCAGATGACTTCTGCAAGAGTGAGGATGGAAACAGACGCGATCTCAAACCGAATATGATGCACAAGACCTGAAACAGATCTGCACTTTCAAGCACTTCTTGTCTTGCAGTCACTGCTTGATCAGAGCCATGATGACAAAACAAGCATTGAGGCCCTTCTGCACAGCTACCAAGTCGCCTGCCTGGTCAGTCCAGCCTAAAAAGCCAGGAGGATATCAAGACCCGAGAAGCACAGAACAGACGATGCAGAAGCAACACCACAAGACAGACAAACTGAAGGAAACTGTCCTGCCTGGCGCACGCACTCACGCTACAAAATAATCCTGCCTCTTCTATTAGCCTGGTGACCCAGCCACAAGCACCCGGAACGTGACCCAGCCTCAACCACCCTCACAGTGGCACCAAGTCTATTCAGCCAGCTGGCTCCATGCTGCTCTGGCTCCAGGCTCCCATTAGCCACCCCAGATATGCAAATACCAGGCGCCCCCCAACTTAGCTCTCATGTTGTTGGATGGTAAATTCCTTCCACCTCAAGAAATGCACAGGCACCGATTGTCAGCTTAGTCAATTGAAGGCTCATCATCAGCTGCAAAAAACAGAGTACCAGCATTCACTAGCACGCCGGCCATGATGCCCACCTTCTCCACAATGCTGACTACTGCTGATGCAACATACGGTTCTGCTCACCTCTTCCTCTCCGAAACCAAGCTCCAACAGTGCAGCCAGTATCATCCACACCACCTGGGAAAATAAAGGGATTAAATGATCATTGCGTTCACAAGAAGTCAGTCGATGGTGTTTTTGTTGTTGTTGTTTTTTGTGTTTGTTTCCTGTATTTTTTTAAAATCTGCCTTAGCTCAACAGCATGCAGAGCACAAACAAGAGAACTGGGGAGTACCTAGAAGAAACAATCCCCATGCTTTCGCTGCAGCTTTGAATATTAAAAGGACAATACGACCCAGCAAGTAACTGGAAATTTCTTAACTGGAATTAGCTCAAACTTTTTTTTTTTACATTGAAAGAAAAATCCAGGAGCAGAACAGATTATACACCAACAAAATCAATTCCATTCCATCCCCAGAAAAAAATCACATACTCTCATCCCCTCCTGTACCTCAGCCGCTTGCCTGGCCACATGGCACATGCTTCTATCTGTTCTCTTTCACCACTTATAGCACCTCTAAAAGGCAAACTGGAATTTTACTCTATTGAATGTAGGAAAATAACTGCAGTGACAACCGCACCCCAAAAACAGTTACCTCTGCTCATCACGCACCAGAGTCACTGCAGAGGCAGCTCGGGTCGAGAGGTCCTGCACTGCGAACTGCACACTGCATTTCAACCTGAACAAAGAAAAGACACAGGCAGAAGATAAACATTCAGCTGCCAGCAGTAGCACCCATTCCTCAACAACATAAGCAACCCCATCTTCACTTTTATCCTTTCAAAACAGCAGGCCACTTGCCTCTGGACCTGCAAATTAGGTTCAAGCCTGAAAGGAGTGGCCAGCTTCACCCACGCCACCTGGGAATGCAAAAGGATACAATGACCACTGTGCTTGCAAGCACCCACCTGCCACACTGCTCCTCTATCCCAAACAGCCTCACCTCGGACCCTCACAGGGAAACACCTGAGCGTCTTCCCTTCGCTTCGGATAAGGGATGACATGGCTGACACCACTCACCTTCCCTCAGAGCTTCGTGACATGAGGATTTCCCTTCCCTCTCCACAACTGAACCAAGCACCTGTAAAGACAAGAGAAACGCACACTCTGAGGCACCTCACAGCCACAGCGTACCTGCTGCAAGACCTCTCTCTTCCCAGCTCCGGTACTTCAGCTGCTCACCAGCTCTAACTCAGATTCTTCGCTCACAGCAGCACAGCAAACTCTGCCCGGGCCACACAACACACACTACACAAGCTACATTGCCTAAGACACACAAGCTGGAACGTTCTGGCCAACAATCAGTCGCATTGCACAGGAAGGCTGCCGCACACCCCGAGAAACCAAACCTACCAGTCCTGAGCTGCTCCCCACCTCCTCCTGCCAACCACGCTCAGCACACACACTATTTGACCATCAAAAAAAACAAAATCTTAGAACATACACACACAAAAAACAACTAAGCTCCATAAATGCCAAAAAGACACGCACACAAAGCAGCCCCAGCAGGGGTAATCACAGACTTACCCTTTTGCAGAGGAAAGAGCAGACTCTGATACAACCCTGCTCAGGCTCTTGGTAATGCTGCATCTACACTGCCACCTCGGACCCTTACAGGGAAACACCTGAGCATCTTCCCTTCAGATAAGAGATGACCAGGCTGACAACACTCACTTTCCCTCACTGCTCTGTGACACAAGTATTTCCCTTTCCTGTCCACGACTGCACAAAGCACCTGCAAAAAAAAAAAAAAAAAAGACAGAAAAGCGCACTCTGAGGCACCTCACAGCCACAGCGTACCTGCTGCAAGACCTCTCTCTTCCCAGCTCCGGTACTTCAGCTGCTCACCAGCTCTAACTCAGATTCTTCGCTCACAGCACCACAGCAAACTCTGCCCAGGCCACACAACACACACTACACAAGCTACATTGCTTAAGACATATGAGCTGGAACGTTCCCACCCAATAATCAGTCGCATCGCACAGGAAGGCTGCTGCACATTCCTAGAAACCAAACCTACCAGTCCTGAGCAGCTCCCCACCTCCTCCTGCCAACAACGCTCAGCACACACACTATTTACTGCTCAGAAAAACAGAAAGTTAAAACATACACACAAAAAAAAACAACCAAGCTCCACAAATGCCAAAAAGACATGCACACACAGCAGCCTCAGCAGGGGCAATCACAGACTTACCCTTTGCAGATGAAAAGGTGACTCTGATACAACCCTGCTCAGTCTCTTGGTAATGCTGCATCTACACTGTCAAGCCACATGTAGCATGTAATCAAGCTGGTGAAACTCTCCAGGGAACTAAAACAAGTGTTTTTATACATGTAGAGATTAAAATACAGCTCAAATACAGGAGCATATGTGACCATCCCAAAAAACAGTGAGCCAGCAGCCTCTACTAAATATCACTCTATTTCAAGCACTTAGAAATCTAGAATTCAAAGCACGTAGAAATCTAGAACTCCACAAACTGCAGCCTGCCTAGAGAATCCTACAACTGACTGAAGGGAACACAAAGCACTGACCCCAAAGAGCACCCAAGGCAGAAGGAGCTCTCTGATGTCGTGCCTGGGGCTCATATACCTTTTGTCCCCACCCAGCACTTAAACCAAATCACCTGGGGAAGATGAAGGGCAAGGCACAAGAGAGTACGAAAAGAGCAAGAGAATCAGATGTTTTTTTTTCTTTCTTTTTTAAAATGAGCTTTATCTCAAAAGCATCCAGAGAGCAGACAAGGTATCTGTGGTGATTCTAGAAGCAAAAATCCCCTTTTACTTTCTCTGCAGGTTTTAATATTGAATTGAAACTATCACCAAGCTAGTAACTGAAACTTTTTGAACTGGAATTAGTTTAAACAGACTCACCCCCATATGAAAACACAGAGAACCAGCATTCACCAGCATGCCAGCCCTAATACCCACCTCCTGCACAACGTTCACTACTACTAAGGCAACATATCATTGTGCAATACCTCTCTATTCCCAGCTCCTTTACCTCAGCTGCTCAGTAGCTCCACAGGACAAATGGGCCCGGGCGGCGCCGCGCCGAAATGGGCCCGGGCGGCGCCGCGCCGAAATGGGCCCGGGCGGCGCCGCGCCGAAATGGGCCCGGGCGGCGCCGCGCCGAAATGGGCCCGGGCGGCGCCGCGCCGAAATGGGCCCGGGCGGCGCCGCGCCGAAATGGGCCCGGGCGGCGCCGCGCCGAAATGGGCCCGGGCGGCGCCGCGCCGAAATGGGGCCCGGGCGGCGCCGCGCCGAAATGGGCCCGGGCGGCGCCGCGCCGAAATGGGCCCGGGCGGCGCCGCGCCGAAATGGGCCCGGGCGGCGCCGCGCCGAAATGGGCCGGGCGGCGCCGCGCCGAAATGGGCCCGGGCGGCGCCGCGCCGAAATGGGCCCGGGCGGCGCCGCGCCGAAATGGGCCCGGGCGGCGCCGCGCCGAAATGGGCCCGGGCGGCCGCGCCGAAATGGGCCCGGGCGGCGCCGCGCCGAAATGGGCCCGGGCGGCGCCGCGCCGAAATGGGCCCGGGCGGCGCCGCGCCGAAATGGGCCCGGGCGGCGCCGCGCCGAAATGGGCCCGGGCGGCGCCGCGCCGAAATGGGCCCGGGCGGCGCCGCGCCGAAATGGGCCGGCGGCGCCGCGCCGAAATGGGCCCGGGCGGCGCCGCGCCGAAATGGGCCCGGGCGGCGCCGCGCCGAAATGGGCCCGGGCGGCGCCGCGCCGAAATGGGCCCGGGCGGCGCCGCGCCGAAATGGGCCCGGGCGGCGCCGCGCCGAAATGGGCCCGGGCGGCGCCGCGCCGAAATGGGCCCGGGCGGCGCCGCGCCGAAATGGGCCCGGGCGGCGCCGCGCCGAAATGGGCCCGGGCGGCGCCGCGCCGAAATGGGCCCGGGCGGCGCCGCGCCGAAATGGGCCCGGGCGGCGCCGCGCCGAAATGGGCCCGGGCGGCGCCGCGCCGAAATGGGCCCGGGCGGCGCCGCGCCGAAATGGGCCCGGGCGGCGCCGCGCCGAAATGGGCCCGGGCGGCGCCGCGCCGAAATGGGCCCGGGCGGCGCCGCGCCGAAATGGGCCCGGGCGGCGCCGCGCCGAAATGGGCCCGGGCGGCGCCGCGCCGAAATGGGCCCGGGCGGCGCCGCGCCGAAATGGGCCCGGGCGGCGCCGCGCCGAATGGGCCCGGGCGGCGCCGCGCCGAAATGGGCCCGGGCGGCGCCGCGCCGAAATGGGCCCGGGCGGCGCCGCGCCGAAATGGGCCCGGCGGCGCCGCGCCGAAATGGGCCCGGGCGGCGCCGCGCCGAAATGGCCCGGGCGGCGCCGCGCCGAAATGGGCCCGGGCGGCGCCGCGCCGAAATGGGCCCGGGCGGCGCCGCGCCGAAATGGGCCCGGGCGGCGCCGCGCCGAAATGGGCCCGGGCGGCGCCGCGCCGAAATGGGCCCGGGCGGCGCCGCGCCGAAATGGGCCCGGGCGGCGCCGCGCCGAAATGGGCCCGGGCGGCGCCGCGCCGAAATGGCCCGGGCGGCGCCGCGCCGAAATGGGCCCGGGCGGCGCCGCGCCGAAATGGGCCCGGGCGGCGCCGCGCCGAAATGGGCCCGGGCGGCGCCGCGCCGAAATGGGCCCGGGCGGCGCCGCGCCGAAATGGGCCCGGGCGGCGCCGCGCCGAAATGGGCCCGGGCGGCGCCGCGCCGAAATGGGCCCGGGCGGCGCCGCGCCGAAATGGGCCCGGGCGGCGCCGCGCCGAAATGGGCCCGAACAGACTTGCTTTCTAGAGATGAAGGAGGTGACCCGGATCACTCTCTAGGCACTACTGCACTTATGTGGTCAAGGAACCCTACCCCATGGTTTCCCAAAAACAACGTACCTTTTCTTTTTCTTCGTGTCTTTTATTTACGTAGAAAGAAAAGTCTAGGAGCAAAACTGATTACACGCCAAAAAAAAAAAAAAATCAATTCCATTCCACTCACAGGAAAAATCACTTACTTCAGTAGGCTACCTGAGAACCAAAAGGCTATGCTGATGGGTCAAAACACACTACAGGACACTGGGACCAGGCCCTCCACTGCACCGAATTAAAACCCATCCCTACACTCACCAAGGTGCAAACCCCAACACAAAAAAACAGACACAGCATTTCAGCTTCAACACAGTTTTCAGAACTGCTGGAAAGCAAGCTTCATACTCAGCGAGGAGTGCTCAGGCTACACAGGAGGGGGCTTAGGGCACCTCTTTGACTACCAAAGACGACCGCCATCAGCACCTGCTTTGTTCCGATACTAAACAATAACATCACAGCCCACGTTGCCTGGGACACCTGATAAAAAGAGAAAGCAGCCATACCCTTTTCAAGCCATCCCTGCACGTGTCGCTCCTTGATCATCTGCAACCTCTTCTCAAATCCTCAACCGCTTCTCTGGAGAGCCTGCCATGGCACCTGCAAAGCAAGACCCTTCGCACTCACCTCATGCTACTCGGCAGTTCTGCTCCAATCCAGCTCACAACCAGCCCGCCCTTCTCGTGCTGCTCTTCAGAGTGCAGCTTGGCCCCACTCAGCCTGTGCGAGACACCTGCAAAAGAGAAAGAAAAGCATAGGCTGAAGCAGCATCCAAAGCCACAGCACAGCTGGGACAGTTACTCTCAGCTGCTCCCTTACCTCGGCGCCCTCACCTACACTCGAGGAAGATGCTTCCATCTGCTCTCTTAGGCCAGCTACAACACCCCTGAAATATAAACAGGATTTTTACTGTATTTTGTTCAGTTAACTAACTGCAATAACAGCTGCACCCCTGAAGTACCTGCTGCATCTGTCCATCGCTCACCTTGCCAAAAGCAGCTATGGTCAAGTCCCGTGTTGTACACTGTGTTTCACCTTAAACAAATGAAAACAGTCACAAGAGAATCATTCAGCTGCCAGCATTAGCACCCATCGCTCAACAACACAAAGGGACCCCATTTACAATATTATCATTTCAAAACAGAAGCCCCCATACCTCAGCACATCAGAAGTAGATCAAGCCAGTCACCGAGCTGCCTACCGAGTGCTGAACAGTTCCAGAAGGAGCTCTTTCCGTGACAGGTTCCTCCAAAGGTTTACACTCTACTGGGGACAGAATAGAAATAAAAATAAAAGTTTCAAAACCCCGTATCTGTAAGCTTTCAAGATTCGACAGACCTCCTCAAGCACACAGTTCAAATGCTATGCGAGCAGCTGCTCGCAAGCAGCTCAAATCTCCCACGCCCAACATCTGCCAAACACCACAGAGATGACTGTGCCAGCTGCCCTTCAGTACGTGCCCAGAGGCAGACCGGATGTCTTCGCCAACACAGTCCGGACAATGTATTAGTACACCCATGCAATGCCATGTTAGCTGTCATCACTAACTGCCAGGCAGGACAGCTCCAGACCAAACACGTACACACACAGGCACGCCACAAACACTACAAACAAAACACACAACACATGGCGCAAGAAAAAGTGACCCCCAAAAGGAAAGCCCTATGATGGCAACAGCAAGACAGATACAGGTGCTCTGCACCAGACCCTACCAGAGACTCAAATGTCACGACACGCGACTGGAAGCAACTGCCAGAACTGGGATGATGGAGGCCTAAAAAGCCTGCCTTCAAGACAAGAGACCAGAAGGATGGGGACTGAAAACCCCCCAAGGCGACACTTAGGAAATCAATTCCCAAGCAAGAGCTCCTGATGCGGCCCGGATGACTTCTGCAAGAGTGAGGATGGAAACAGACGCGATCTCAAACCGAATATGATGCACAAGACCTGAAACAGATCTGCAGTTCAAGCAGCGACTGCAAGACGAGAAGTGCTCGGATCAGAATCATAATGACAAAACAAGCATTGAGGCCCTTCAGCACCGCTACCAAGTCACCTGTCTAGTCAGTCCGGTGTAAAAAGTTAGGAGGATATCAAGACCTGAGAAGCACAAAACAGACGTTGTAGAAGCAACACTACAAGACAGACGAACAGAAGGAAACTGTCCTGCCTGGCGCACGCACTCACACTACAAAATAATCCTGCCTCTTCTATTAGCCTGGTGACCCAGCCACAAGCACCCTGAACGTGACCCAGCCTCAACCACCCTCACAGTGGCACCAAGTCTATTCAGCCAGCAGGCACCACGCTGCTCTGGCTCCCAGCTCCCATTAGCCACCCCAGATATGCAAATACCAGGCACCCCCCAACCTAGCTCTCAGGCTGCTGCATGGTAAAGTTCCTCCGCCTCAAGAAATGCACAGGCACCGTTTGTCATCTTAGTCAACTGAAGGCTCATCATCAGCTGCAAAAACAGAGTAACAGCATTCACTAGCACGCCAGCCCCATTGCTCACCTTCTCCACAATGCTGACTACTGCTGATGCAACATACGATTGTGCTCACGTGTTCCTCTCCGAGTCCAAGCTCCAACAGTGCAGCCAGTATCATCCACACCACCTGGGAAAACAAAGGGATTAAATGATAGTTGCATTCAGAACAAATAACCCAATCGTGGTTTCTTGTTGTTGTTGTTTGTGTGTGTGTTTCTTGTATTTTTTTCTTTAAATCTGCTTTAGCTCAACAGCACGCAGAATGCAAACGAGAACTGGGGAGTACCTAGAAGAAACAATCCCCATGCTTTTGCGGCAGCTTTGAATATTAAAAGGACAACACGACCCAGCAAGTAACTGGAACTTTCTTAACTGGAATTAGCTCATACTTTTATTTGCATTGAAAGAAAAATCTAGGAGCAGAACAGATTATACACCAACAAAATTAATTCCATTCCATCCCCAGAAAAAAATCACATACTCTCATCCCCTCCTGTACCTCAGCCGCTTGCCTGCCCCACGTGGCACATGCTTCCATCTCTTCTCCTTACCCACTTATAGCACCTCTAAAAGGCAAACTGGAGTTTTACTCTATTGGACATAGGAAAATAACTGCAGTGACAACCACACCCCAAAACCAACAGTTACCTCTGCTCATCACGCATCAGAGTCACTGCAGAGGCAGCTCGGGTCGAGACGTCCTGCACCGCGCACTGCACGCTGCATTTCAACCTGAACAAAGGAAAGACACAGGCAGAAGATAAATATTCAGCTGCCAGCAGTAGCACCCATCCCTCAACAACATAAGCGACCCCAGCTTTACTTTTACCCTTTCAAAACAGCACTCCACTTGCCTCTGGACCTGCAAATTAGGTCCAAGCTTGAAAGGAGCGGCCACCATCATCCACAACACCTGGGAACACAAAAGGACAAAACGACCACTGTGCTTGCAAGCACCCACCTGCCACGCTACTCCTCTATCCCAAACAGTCTCACCTCAGACCCTCACAGGGAAACACCTGAGCGTCTTCCCTTCGCTTCGGATAAGGCATGACCAGGCTGGCAACACTCACCTTCCCTCAGAGCTCCATCACAGGAGGATATCCCTTCCCTGTCCACGACTGCACAAAGCACCTGCAGAGACAAGGGAAAAGCACACTCTGAGGCACCTCACAGCCACAGCGTACCTGCTGCAAGACCTCTCTCTTCCCAGCTCCGGTACTTCAGCTGCTCACCAGCTCTAACTCAGATTCTTCACTCACAGCACCACAGCAAAATCTGCCCAGGCCACACAACACACACTACACAGGCTACATTGCCTAAGACACACAAGCTGGAACGTTCCCACCCAACAATCAGTCGCATCGCACAGGAAGGCTGCCGTACTCTCCGAGAAACCAAACCTACCAGTCCTGAGGAGCTCCCCACCTCCTCCTGCCAACCACGCTCAGCAAACACACTATTTACTGCTCAGAAAAACAGAAAGTTAAAACATACACACACAAAAAACAACTGAGCTCCACAAATGCCAGAAAGACATGCACACACAGCAGCCTCGGCAGGGGTAATCAAACTTACCCTTTGCAGATGAAAGAGGTGACTCTCATACAACCCTGCTCAGTCTCTTGGCAATGCTGCATCTACCCTGCCAAGCCACATGTAGCATGAAATGAAGCTGGTTTTAGTCCTCTGGAAAATTACAGAAGTAGGTCTATGCATCTAGAGAATAAATTTAGCTCAAAAACAGAAGAGCATCCCACCATCCCAAAAAACAGTGAGCCAGAAACCTCTATTAAACATCCCTCTCCTAAGTGAATTCCAAGCACTTAAAAATTCTAGAAATCTATGAACTCCAGCCTGCCTAGAGAACCCTGTAACTGACTAAAGGAAAAAAAAAGCACTTATCCAAAAGTGCAGCCCAGGCAGAAGGAGCTCTCTGATGGCATACCTTCAACTCAGTTACCATTAGGTCCCACCTGGAACCTGAAGCCAATCACCTGGGAAAGTGCAGGGGGAAAGCATAAAAAAGCTGAAAGAGGAGCAGCAGCAGCTGTGGTTTTATTAACTTCCTTATATGGCTTAGCTCAACAGCATGCAGAGTGCAGACAGGAGAACTGGGGTGTTTCTAGAAACAAAAATCCCCATGCTTTTGCTGCAGCTTTGAATACTGAAAGGACAATACTACCACGCAAGTAAATGAAGCTTTTTCAGCCGGATTTAGCGCAGACTTGTATTTACGCAGGAAGAAAACTCTAGGAGCAGAACAGATTATGCGCCAAAGAAGAATTCAATTCCATTCCACTCACAGGAAAAATCACTTACTTCAGTAGGCTACCTGAGAACCAAAAGGCTATGCTGATGGGTCAAAACACACTACAGGACACTGGGGCCAGGCCCTCCACTGCACCAAATTAAAACCCATCCCTACACTCACCAAGGTGCAACCCCAACACAAACACAGAAACAGCATTTCAGCCTCAACACAGTTTTCAGAACTGCTGGAAATCAAGCTTCATACTCAGCGAGGCGTGCTCAGGCTACACAAGACAGGGCTTTGGGCACCTCCTTGCCTACCAAAGAAGACAGCTATCAGCACCTGCTTTGTTCCGATTCTAAAGACTAACATCACAGCCCACGTTGCCTGGGACACCTGATAAACAGAAGAGAAAGCAGCCATACCCTTTTCAAGCCATCCCTGCACGTGTCGCTCCTTGATCATCTGCAACCTCTTCTCAAATCCTCAACCGCTTCTCTGGAGAGCCTGCCATGGCACCTGCACAGCAAGACCCTTCGCACTCACCTCGTGCTACTTGGCTGTTCTGCTCCAATCCAGCTCACAACCAGCCCGCCCTTCTCATGCTGCTCTTCAGAGTGCAGCTTGGCCCCTCTGAGCCTGTGTGAGACACATGTGAAACAAAAAGAAAAGCACAGGCTGAAGCAGCATCCAAAGACACAGCACAGCTGGGACAGTTACTCTCAGCTGCTCCCTTACCTCGGCCCCCACACCTGCCCTCGAGGAAGATGCTTCCATCTACTCCCTTAGGCCAGCTACAACACCCCTGAAACATAAACAGGATTTTTACTGTACTTTGTGTAGTTAAGTAAATACAGTGACAGCTGCACCCCTAAAGTACCTGCTACATCTGTTCATCGCTCAGCTTCCAGAATTAGCACCCAGCCCTCCACAACAAAAGGGACCCCATTTACAATACTATCGTTTCAAAACAGCAGCCCCCTTGCCTCAGCACCTCAGAAGTAGATCAAGCCAGTCACCGAGCTGCCTACCGAGTGCTGGACAGTTCCAGAAGGAGCTCTTTCCTGTGGGCAGTTCCTACTACGGTATACACTCTACTGCGGACAGGAAAGATATAAGAATAAACATTTCAAAACCCCGTATCTGTAAGCTTTCAAGATTCAACAGTACACCATTAAAGCACTATGCAAACAGCTGCTCACAAGCAGATATACTCTCCCAAATCCCCATCTGCCAACCTCCAGAGATGACTGTGCCAGCTGTCCTTCAGTATGCGCCCAGAGGCAGATGTCTACGCCAAAACAGTCTGGACAATGTATTAGTACACCCATAGACTACCACGTTAGCTATTATCACTAACTGCCAGGCAGGACAGCTCCAGACCAAACACGTACACACACAGGCACGCCACAAACACTACAAACAAAACACACAACACTAGGCGCAAGAAAAAGTGACCCCCAGGGGAAAGCCCTACTGCAACAGCAAGTCAAAACAGGTGCTCTGCACCAGACCCTAGGAGAGACTCAAATGTCACGACATGCGACTGGAAGCAACTGCCAGATATGGGATGATGGAGGCCTAACAAGCCTGCCTTCAAGACAAGAGACCAGAAGGATGGGGAGAGAAAACCACCTAAGACAACTCTCAGGAAATCAATTCCCAAGCAAGAGCTCCTGATGCGGCCCAGATGACTTCTGCAAGAGTGAGGATGGAAACAGATGCGATCTCAAACCGAGTATGATGCACAAGACCTGAAACAGATCTGCACTTTCGAGCAGTGACTTAAAGACAAAAAGTGCTCGCATCAGCCCTACGATGATGAAACAAGCATTTAGGGCCTTTGGTGTGGCTACAAAGTTGCACATCTTGTCTGTCCAGTGGAAGAAGGCAATGAGAATATCAAGACCTGAAGAGCACATAACATATGATGATCATATCAGGAAATGTTTGATACAAAAAACTATTAATCCCATAGTAGAAGTGATCCCCTTAAGCTCCCACTGCCACACAAGCGTTGTTCAGCTCCCAGTTCAACATCAGTATTATTCTGAGGAGGTCAAGTGTTCAATACCTTCGGGATGGCTTCCCGAGGCCTGCCGGGCACCAAGAGCAACAGCACAGTACAGCACAGACAACACAGATGACAAGCTGGGACTGCCCTGCCTGGCACGCGCTCACGCTGTACGTGACTGAACTCCCCACACATAATCTCTCTGCCTGACCTGATCAATCCTGAAAGGCCCCATCCAAAGCAATGACTTAAAAGCACAGACCCTCGCCCTATGGGTGCATTCACAACCCCAGCTCAAACATAGCATTTGCCACCCCCCCGACCCCCCCAAATTAGCTTGGGAATGCTGGGAGGCAGGTTCCATCCTCACCAAGGAACACAAAGGCCAGCCAGGACATTGCTTCAGGCACAAGGCTCCTCTTCGCCTGCAGAAATGAAGTGCCATCAGGCACCAGCACACTAGCCGAATTTCTTCCAGTGAAACAACCTCCTCAGAAACAAAACAGTAATCAACTGACCTGCTCTGCTACTGAAATCAGATAGACACCCTTTAAACAACTCCCCACCTCCCTCTGCCAACCACTCCACAACACACAGTATTTCCCCCTGGACTTAATTCTCAGGGCTCAGAATCCACTATCAATGTGCACCACAGAGGCCAGCTAGGATGTTCCCAGGACCTTCTTCGTCCCTGCAAAAGAGGAGACACCCGGAGGTGCACCAAGAGACTACTACAGCAAAAACAATACCCGTTTTCCAACTTTTCTCCACTCACCTTCCCGATCCAGGCTTAGCGCTTCCATTCACTGTGCTGAGCCAAGGTCACGGGGCTTAGTCCAAGAAGAACAGAAACGTGACAATCCACAAAACAGTCTATACCCACTCCTTTCGTCCCCTGCTGCAACAGCCAAGAAGCCCCAGAGCCACGTGGCCCAACCCAGTACCACCGCTTCACTCACCTAACATCCCCAGGAGATGCATCGTGCTCCCAGCTCCTCTTGTGCTCCGAGCATCTCCAGCATTTCAGGAACTGGAACCGCTGACGTCTGGCACATCTCAGAAACGTGGCAGGAGACGTACTCTGCTGTCGCAAGGCACTTGCAAAGCCGGCCCGACAGGTGAAGCAGAATAACACAGCCCACCGACCAACTCGGGGCCCCCACTGCTGTCCACTCACCCTCATGCTTCGTTCAAGTTTCCGTGCCTATGCCCTGAGCTACAAGAAACAAAGAGAGAAGGTCACAACCACGATGGATACGCAAACAGTGCAGCTCCTAGCAGAGGACTCAAACACAGAGACCAGAGACAGACAAACAAAAAAAACCCTCAAGTCCAAAAATGCCGAAAGGCCATGAATGCATAGCAGCCCCGGCAGGGGTAATGACAGACATACCTTTTGCAGATGGAAAAGGTGACCCTGTTCAGTCTCTTGGTAATGCTGCACCTACGTGGTCAAGCCTCTTGCAGCATGCAGTCAAGCTGGTTTTAGTCCTCTGGAGAGTTACACAAGTGGGTTGTTTCATCTGGAGATTAAAATACAGATCAAACACAGGAGCGTAAGCCACCATCCCAAAAACAGTGAGCCAGCAGCCCCTACTAAACATCCCTCTACTAAGTGAATTCCAAGCACTTAAAATCCAGAAATCCATAGGCTCCAGCCTGCCTAGAGAACCCTGCAACCGACTGAAGGAAAAACAAAGCACTGCCCCCAAAGAGCAGCCCAGGCAGAAGGAACTCTCTCATGGCATACTTGGGGCTCATATACCTTTTGGTCCCACCCAGCACCCAAACCCAATCACCTGGGAAAGGGGAGGGGCAAAGCACAAGAAACTAGAAAGAGGAGGAGCAGCAGCTGTGGTTTATTTACTTATTTATAAGGCTTAGCTCAACAGCATGCAGAGTGCAGACAAGAGAACTGGGGTGTTTCTAGAAGCAATAATCCCCATGCTTTCGCTGCAGCGTTGAATACTGAAAGGACAATACAACCACGCAAGTAAATGAAGCTTTTTCAGCTCAAATTAGCTCAAACTTTTATTTACACAGAAAGAAAGATCTAGGAGCAGAACAGATTGTACACCAACAAAATCAATTCCGTTCCACTCACAGGAAAAATCACTTACTTCAGTAGGCTATCAGAACCAAAAGGCTATGCTGATGGGTCAAAACACACTACAGGACACTGGGGCCAGGCCCTCCGCTGCACTGAATTAAAACCCATCCCTACACTCATCAAGGTGCAAGCCCAACCCAAACGCAAACAGCATTTCAGCCTCAACACAGTTTTCAGAACTGCTGGAAAGCAGGCTCCATCCTCAGCAAGGCGTTCTCAGGCTACACAGGAGGGGGCTTTGGGCACCTCTTTGCCTACCAAAGAAGACCACCATCAGCACCTGCTTTGTTCTGATTCTAAAGACTAACATCACAGCCCACGTTGCCTGGGACACCTGATAAACAGAAGAGAAAGCAGCCATACCCTTTTCAAGCCATCCCTGCACGTGTCGCTCCTTGATCATCTGCAGCCTCTTCTCCAATCCTCAACCGCTTCTGTGGAGAGCCTGCCATGGCACCTGCAAAGCAAGATGGATACCCTTCGCACTCACCTCGTGCTACTTGGCAGTTCTGCTCCAATCCAACTCACAACCAGCCCGCCCTTCTCGTGCTGCTCTTCAGAGTGCAGCTTGGCCCCACTCAGCCTGTGTGAGACAAATGTGAAACAAAAAGAAAAGCACAGGCTGAAGCAGCATCCAAAGACACGGCACAGCTGGGACAGTTACTCTCAGCTGCTCCCTTACCTCGGCCCCCCTCACCTGCCCTCGAGGAAAATGCTTCCATCTGCTCTCTTAGGCCAGCTACAAAACCTCTGAAATATAATCAGGATTTTTACTGTATTTTGTGCAGTTAACTAACTGCAGTGACAACTGCACCCCTAAAGTACCTGCTACATCTGTCCATCGGTCACCTTGCAAAAAGCAGCTCCGGTCAAGTCCCGTGTTGTACACTGTGTTTCAGCTTTAACAAATGAAAACAGTCACAAGAGAATCATTCAGCTGCCAGCATTAGCACCCATCCCTCCACAACACAAAGGGACCCCATTTACATTACTATCATTTCAAAACAGAAGCCCCCATACCTCAGCACCTCAGAAGTACATCAAGACTGTCACCGAGCTGCCTACCGAGTGCTGAACAGTTCCAGAAGGAGCTCTTTCCGTGACAGGTTCCTCTTAGGGTTTACACTCTACTGGGGACAGAATAGGAATAGAAATAAAAGTTTCAAAACCCCATATCTGTAAGCTTTCAAGATTCGACAGACCTCCTCAAGCACACCGTTCAAGCACTATGCAAACAGCTGCTCACAAGCAGATATACTCTCCCAAATCCCCATCTGCCAACCACCAGATATGACTGTGCCAGCTGCCCTTCAGTACGTGCCCAGAGGCAGACCGGATGTCTTTGCCAAAACAGTCCAGACAATGTATTAGTACACCCATGCACTGCCACATTAATCACTAACTGCCAGGCAGGACAGCTCCAGACCAAACACGTACACACACACAGGCACGCCACAAACACTACAAACAAAACACACAACACTAGGTGCAAGAAAGATTGACCCCCAAAAGGAAAGCCCTATGGCAACAGCAAGTCAGATACAGGTGTTCTTCACCAGACCCTACGAGAGACTCAAATGTCACGACACGCGACTGGAAGCAACTGCCAGAACTGGGATGATGAAGGCCTAAAAAGCCTGCCTTCAGGACAAGAGACCAGAGGGATGGGGAGTGAAAACCCCCTAAGAAGACACTTAGGAAATCAATTCCCAAGCAAGAGCTCCTGATGCGGCCCAGATGACTTCTGCAAGAGTGAGGATGGAAACAGATGTGCATCATATTCGGTTTGAGATCACAAGACCTCAAACAGATCTGTAGTTCAAGCAGCGACTGCAAGACAAGAAGTGCTCGGATCAGAGTCATGATGACAAAACAAGCATTGAGGCCCTTCAGCACAGCTACCAAGTCGCCTGCCTGGTCAGTCCGGTGTAAAAAGTCAGGAGGATATCAAGACCCGAGAAGCACAGAACAGACACTGCAGAAGCAACACCACAAGACATACAAACTGAAGGAAACTGTCCTGCCTGGCGCACACACTCACACTACAAAATAATCCTGCCTCTTCTATTAGCCTGCTGACCCAGCCACAAGCAGCCTGAACGTGACCCAGCCTGAACCACCCTCACAGTGGCACCAAGTCTATTCAGCCAGCTGGCTCCATGCTGCTCTGGCTCCAGGCTCCCATTAGCCACCCCAGATATGCAAATACCAGGTGCCCCCCAACTTAGCTCTCAAGTTGCTGCATGGTAAAGTTCCTCCGCCTCAAGAAATACACAGGCACTGATTGTCATCTTAGTCAATTGAAGGCTCATCATCAGCTGCAAAAAACAGAGTACCAGCATTCACTAGGACACCAGCCCCATTGCTCACCTCCTCCACAATGCTGACTACTGCTGATGCAACATACGATTGTGCTCACCTGTTCCTCTCCGAGACCAAGCTCCAATAGTGCAGCCAGTATCATCCACACCACCTGGGAAAACAAAGGGATTAAATGATCATTGCTTTCACAACAAGTCAGCCAATGGTGTTTTTTGTTGTTTTTGTTGTTGTTTTTGTGTGTTTCCTGTATTATTTTTTTTAAATCTGCCTTAGCTCAACAGCATGCAGACTGCAGATAAGAAAACTGGGGTGTTTCTAGAAGCAATAATCCCCATGCTTTTGCTGCAGCTTTGAATATTAAAAGGACAACACGACCCAGCAAGTAACTGGAACTTTCTTAACTGGAATTAGCTCAAACTTTTATTCACATTGAAAGAAAAATCTAGGAGCAGAACAGATTATACACCAACAAAATTAATTCCATTCTGTCCCCAGAAAAAAATCACACACTCTCATCCCCTCCTGTACCTCAGCCGCTTGCCTGCCCCACATGGCAGATGCTTCCATCTCTTCTCTTCACCCACTTATAGCACCTCTAAAAGAGAAACTGGAATTTTACTCTACCGGATGTAGGAAAATAACTGCAGTGACAACCGCACCACCAAAAACAACAGTAACCTCTACTCATCACACACCAGAGTCACTGCAGAGGCAGCTGGTTGAGACATCCTGCACTGCACACTGCATTTCAGCCTGACCAAAGGAGAAAGGCAGGAAGAATATAAACATTCAACTGCCAGCAGTAGCACCCATTCCTCAACAACAAAAGGGACCCCATCTTTAGTTTTATCCTTTCAAAACAGCAGGCCACTTGCCTCTGTACCTGCAAATTAGGTCCAAGCTTGAAAGGAGCGGCCAGCATCATGCACGCCACCTGGGAACACAAAAGGACAAAAGAACCACTGTGCTTACAAGCAACCACCTGCCACACTGCTCCTCTATCCCAATCAGCCTCACCTCGGACCCTCACAGGGAAACACCTGTGAGAAACACTCCGTAGCCAATAACTTAGGCTCAGGCAAGGATCTCAGTGAAGTAGTAATTTATTCGCGATTGCAATGGCGGGCGCCCCACAAGCAGGAGAGAGCGCATCTACAAGTTCCAAAACACAGTTTATATACTTTTTGATGACAGGACCCTCCCCTGTTTCCCCACTAAGTGAGCAATCCAGGTTCACAATCTATCTGATGCCTCACAAACAATGCCTGTCCTTCAGTCGCCGGCCTGTTAAATTTCAAATTTCTTTTAACATTTTTACTGTTTGAAGTGGTAATGTTTCTTCACTTATCTGACTTGACTCGATACCGTGATTTTCACCTAATTGTCTTAAGGAGTCTAGTTGTCTGCATTTTACAACGTCGCCTGCTAAGCTCTCTTATCATTGTAAGCCTATCTCAATACTACATTCCTACATTCCTACCTTCTAAACAATGTAACTCTGCAAAAACAACATTTCTATTCCCACAATTCCCCCCTCTTTTTCTTTTCTATAAACTGTTGATTTTTGCAAAAACTCTTTTTAATTTATTTATTTACTTATTTATTTATTTTTAAGGTGTAATTTGGTAAATATCTTCCTCTTCTTCACTTTCTTTGCTCTCCATTTCCTCTAACATCATCATTTTATCTGAGTAGGGTGGTGGATCCATGGTCATTTGTTTTAGTAATGCGGTTTCAATTAACCGCTGGACAAGTCCCCTTACACAGGGGATAATGCAACAGCCAATAGCTGTCAAAACTCCTGCTACTACAATCAAAGATGTAAATATGGACATTACCATCCCTTTCCATTTACCAAACCAAGATTCCAACCATCCTGTGATGGAAGTGTCT